TGGTAAAGTGATCGAACATCGAATGCGGGAAACACAAAATGCTTAGCCCTAAGCTTTTGCATTAGGAATGTGCACCAGATAGGTTGAATTTTCTAGAAGAGAAAGTTGTTCAAAACTAGGGGGGAAATTGATGTACAAGGGACTGATTGATTCTTTGTCGTGGAAGGGAAGCAAAGGTTAAAAAATACTCGTCGAATAGAGAGTGGGAACCACTTCCCATATCAATTTGGTGGTGTCAAATATGGTAAGGAATATAATGGCTTCAGAATAAAGTTTAGGGTTCAAGTAATGTGAATGAAAAATGTAGTAGTTTTGCTTCTTGCGTGAAGGTAAGAAGAATGAGTTCTTACTTACAAAATATTTTAGGGTAAATTATTCATTTAGTATGTTATGCATTTAGTATCTAAATTATCAGTTTTAGTTTATTTTAGTAACTAAACTTTTAGTTTTTTCAAATTTCATTTTAGTATCACACCATCAAAAGCTTAATATGTTTAATATTTAAACTATCAGTTTTAATCTGTTTTAACACTTAAATTTTCAAATTTTTAATAATTTTTTTTAACGAAGTACTAAAAAGAAATGAAAATTAAACTTCAGGTATAGTTTTAAAAAAATAAAAGTTTAGATATTAAATTGAATCAATATTGATAGTTTATGTATTAAATGTATAATTTTCCCAATATTTAATGTAATACAAGTGTTTCTAACGTGAAATTATATATATAGTTTAACAAAAATAAGAGAAGAAATCACAATCAAGGGCGTTCGTAGGTCAGCTCAAGGAAACTAAAAGTCTAAAAACAGAAGAAAAAGGAGTCAAATTCCCGTATGAGATTTTAATTAATTTTAGTTTATGTATTTTTCTAAATTTTATAGTTTTAACTTTGATCCAAATAATATAAGGATAATATTATTAAATTAACTTTAATTTAATTTATTGTCGAGATCTAAAATACGATACCCAGATCTGTCAAGTCAATATGGTATTAATATGAAATAAAAATTCAACCCTAAATCAATCTCTTGCATGCGCTCTGTTTGTAGTCACCAACATAAATATCTAATTATTTTGGCGTTTTTATTGAAAAATCACCCTAATAATAAACTCAGGCATCAATTCTTTAAATTTTATAAATTTAGCACCCTTTCGAACAGAGTGATAATAAGACGTGTTGTGTTAAACGTGCCTTCTACACGTGGACGGAAGGTACGTTGTAGGGGCACGCCTTCCATGAGTTTTGTCCAAACTGGAGCCACGGTGGGAAGGCGTGTTCCAGGGGATGCGTCTTCGTGAGGAAATGCTGACACGTGGAAGGTGTGTTTCAGGGGTGCGCATTCCATTTAAATTCCACCTACCAGCCATAAATCTCGCCCAACCGCCCCTCCCCCATTCAACACTCAAACCACACCAAAATTGCTCCCTTATTCTTTATTATATTAAACTAAGTAGATTTTGTTATATTTTTTAGAAGTTGAAACTATTTTTTGTTATATTATATTTATTTAATATATTTTATAAATTTTTTATTGTACTAATTATTTTTTTATTACTTTTTGCAGCTGTAAAATGGAATGTGGGATACTGCGATTTGATGAGGATCATATCTCGAGTCATTTTGTTGATACGATAATAATATTAAATTGTATTATTTAAATTATTGTGAATATCTTATTAATTTATTTTTAGTATTAGTTTATATTTTAATTCATATATTATTTATTTAATTAGGGGAATGATCGTATATTAGAAGCATTTATTCGTAAAGCTAATTTAGAAATACCGCATCTTGTCTGGTCATATTTAGTCGAGGCTGGATTTGGTTACATAGCGAAATATGAAAGACATTGTAAACTCGAACTCACCCTTATTTCTACACTAATTGAGAGGTGGAGACCAGAGACACACATATTTCATCTTCCGTGTGGGGAGTGCATTATTATGCTGGAGAATGTTTCTATGCAATTGGGGCTTCCGGTAGATAGAGATGTTATTTCTGGTGTGGTAGATGGTGATTGGCATTGGTTGTGCCAATAGTATATTGGAGATGTTATGCCTGATTTCAACGGTGGTCGAATACCTTTATGGTGGCTGAGAAGCAAATTTCCACAATTAAGTGAAAACTGTTTCGAATATCAGGCTAAAAAATTTATTGGGACATACATATTACAACTCATAGGAGGGATCTTAATGCCCAGACAAATCTCGCAACCAATTTCATTGTATGTGGTTGCGTCTCCTCGATGAATTTCGAGTTGTCGATACATTAAGTTGGTGCTTTGCAGTTTTGCCATTTCTGTATAGAGAAATGTGTCAGACAGCATATTATTAAAAAAATGTTATTAGTGGATGTCTCATTTTTCTCCAGTCATGGATATGGCATCACATGCCTTTTTTATGTCTGGTCATGAATGATTCGTTTGTCTTCCCTGTTACTATTTATGCAATTTCAATACTGAGTTCGTATATAATGAATTATATTTTCTATATTGAAAAGTGGTTATCTACAAGGAAAAATCATCGTGATATACAGGACGAATTGGAAGAAATTCGGCTACTCATTGATCAAAAGGCTACTACAGAGGTGCATATTTAAATTTTAATATTTACATTTAATTATCCTTGTATAATTAGAATATTATTTTGATAATAAATTAACACCGTTGATGACACGGGCACCTAAATAGGTAACGGTTTGTAACGTTAGGCACCTGGATGAGTCAAAAAATAATTTAGACACCTATTTGGGGAAAACATTATAGTTTGAGCACTTATTTTGGTATTAAGCCTTTTGAAAAAAAATTAAAAGTTTAAATACTAAAATAAACTAAAACTAATTGTTTAGGTACTAAATGCGTAGTTGATCCTATTATTTAAGGTGTATTTGAGACATGCTTATGTAGAGATCTTCCAACTGTGGCTGCTGACGATGTTTGGTTGGAGGACCATGTAGCTAATGACATGAATGGGAGTAGGGATGGTCATGGAACCGAATATTACGTATTTTGATATGATTTGATTTGATTCGATAGGATTAGATTAAATCTAGGTTTTTTAGAAGATATGTTCGAATCGTATTGGATTCAAGTGTAAGGTGAAAAATATTCGACTAAAAAAAATAATATAGTTTACCTTATATATTTAGAAAAAATTACAATAATATTCATTTATATATTAACTTTTTCAATTATATCTTTGTTTTTATTGAATGGAAGTAATATTTTTATAAATATATTTTCTTATATCGAGTTGAGTTAGGTTCAAATTTTATTTCGAAAAAACGGATTATATTCTGATTGAGTGAAGTCATCATAAACTCAGATCGAATCAAATTTCAAATAAAGAAAATATATTTTTCGGGTCATATCGAATTTGTTAAAAACCGATCCAACCCTGACCCTTGTCCATTAGGGAGTGGCTCCTCGGTGGTCCATCCCTAAGGAGGGAGACTGGCTCTGGCTCTGACTCTGAAGGTCAAGGCCGGGCAGTAGTTGCTAGCCTGCCACTGGTGTACTCTTTGGCCCAAATGATTGGTCCTGCCCTATGTATCGCTTCTAATGCTCGAGTGAAATGTTTTCTTCTTTTCTGGTCCTCGCATATTTTAGTGAAATATTTTATTTACTGTTAATAAAATAATATCATAAATCCAGTTAAGTTGGGTTTTAGGCTGATCCGATTCTAATTCGAGTATTATAACCTTTCATTCGTTACTCGATCCGATTCTAATTCGAGTATTATAACCTTTTATTCGTTACTCAATCCGATTCTAATTCGAGTATTATAACATTTCATTCGGTACTCGATCCAATCTATATTTAAAGAGGTTTTACTCAATCCGAAACTCGATTTAATTTTTGGGTAAAAATTAACACCCAATCAGATCCGCTACACACACGAATTAGGTAAAACAAGAACCTAATTGACAAACATATAGTGAGAGGGATATACTTAGACATATCCTTAAATATATAAGTAGGGATGGGCATGGGTCGGGTTTTTGGTCCACCCGACCTAACCCGAGAACAAGGGAACCTTCACCCGAGGTCCGACCCAACCAAAACAAGATTTCACCTGACCCGATATATAACTTAGAAACCCGACCCGACCCAAAATAATAATAAAAAATATATTTTTATTCAATAAAAAAGTGACTTAATTGAAAAAAATTATATATAGAGGGGTATCATTATAATTATTCTTAAATATATAAGGTAAAATTATATATATATTTTGGGTCGGGTCGGGTCAGGTATTTTTCACCCTAAATCCGACCCGACCCGAATATCACACTTAAAAAAAACTCGATCCGACCCGACTTGGATTTTTTTTTAAAAAAATCCAACCCGATCGGGTTGGGTCGGAACCCGTCGGGTTCGGGTCCCATGTCCATTCCTATATATAAAAAAAATTAGCTAACCATATTTCCATATGTAATGAGGTAAGGGGAGGTAGGGTTGTTGGCTACCCTCAACGCCAGATTGAGAGCAACTTTCGTGGAAAACCTCCGTTATGAATTGCCCTCAGTGGGACTCGATCCCATGACCACAAGGTTAAGAGTCTTGCGCTGTACCAATTGAGCTAGACAGGCAATTCTATCCATTCCTATATATAAGAGATAATTATATTATTATTTTCACTCTAAAAAGATTTGACACCAACTCGAATTTAAAAAACATGATCATATAAGATTGGATTATAATAAAATTAAATTATCAATAAAAATATTTAAATTATACGAGAGTTTAGAATTTTTAAAATAAAACCGTTTCTAGTACCCTCTCTCTCTGTATATATTTTGTATGCATGCATGAAGGGCCTTGAAAACATCCTCTCTCTGTCTCTATATATATATATATATTGTATGCATGCATGAAGGGCTTTGAAGGTTTTGTCTTTAACCTAATAGTATAGTAGGATTCTTTTTGGCAAAGTTATGCATAAGGTCGACAAGATGATTGATTAATATATATTGGCAGCGCACCTCCCGGAGCATGTTTGGCAATATGGCTTAAACACTGCTGGTTTTACCCGTACCTAAATGGCTCAATAATTAAAGCTTGGAGCTTTAGGCTATGGCTGCTCTCTCTTATATATAAACACATCCACATACCAACAAAACCCTTCTTTTATTTTGGTTTCTTTGATACGTTCAATGCAAAGGTAAAGCCTGAAAAGAAAAAGATAGCAATTTAGCAATAGCAATGACTCGGTTCATCAATCTTCAAATCGTCATTAATGATGAACAAAGTTTCTTTCTTCATGAGGTAAATTCTTTTGTTTATTGTATTTCTTTTTCATTTATGTATGTAGAAGTAGAACAACTGTTTGTGAATATGTTTGTTTGGAAATTTCTTTCCCCAGAATATTATGTCAGCTTTCTCAGGAAGGTTGAAGAAGATCATTAGAAAACAAAAGAGAAAACCCCAGATTGAGGATTCCATTATAGAGCTCAATGATTTCCCTGGTGGACCAGATGGATTTGAGCAAGTTTCAAGGTTCTGTTACAATCATGGAAGAGCTAAAATCACAGTTTCCAATGTGTCTCTTCTTTATTGCTGTGCATTTTTCCTTGGCATGACAGAGAAAGCCTCAACCAACAATCTCTTGAAACAAACAGAAAAGTTCCTGGAGGGGATGTTTTATTGGTCCTGGGGTGATATAATTATGTCCCTAAGGAGCTGTGAACCATTCTTTTCATATGCAGATTCATATGGTCTAATCCAAAAGCTGATCTTTGCACTTTTAGCAAAGATTGCTCAGAATTCAGATACGAACTTCATAGCTTCTTCTTCTTCATCATCTTCACCAGTGACGAGTTTTGGCTTCAGATTCTCTTCAACATCAAAAGCCTCACCTGATCCAGCCAGTCCATGTACTAAATCAGGCAAGGATTGGTGGTTTGATGAATTGACAAATTTAGGTCCAAAGATCATTGAGAAAATCATTAGGAATTTGGGTGCTTATGGGGACCAAAACAACAGCTTCACACTCACAAGGTTCATTCTCCATTACCTCAAAAGCAGACCCCAAGGTTCTTCCTCAAGCTCTAAATACGAATACAGTGGCCTGGCTGACACAGCTGTTCATGGGGTTATTTTAGTGGGGAAAACCAAATTTTCTTGCGGGAAACTTTTCTGGGTTTTGAGACTTGTTTCTGGTTTCAACCTCAGCAAAGACTATAGGGCTGGTTTGGAGAGATTGATCGGTGAGAATCTTGATGAAGCAACTGTGGATGACTTGTTGGTATCAGGACATAACAGGGGTGTTTATGATGTCAACCTTGTAATAAGATTGATTAGAGTGTTTGTCAATGGTGAAGAGGTGGATTCACAGAAGATGAAAAAGCTTGGAAGATTGATAGATAAGTACTTGAGAGAAATATCTCCAGACCAGAACCTCAACATCTCTAAGTTCCTTGCAGTTGCTGAGAGTTTACCAGATTCTTCAAGAGATTGCTTTGATGGAGTCTATAGAGCCATTGATTTCTATCTTCAGGTGACCATTTCAACATCTCTAATTTCCTTTGATTTATGTTAAATTTGCTAATCGAGTAAATTGGCCATTGCAGTCCCATCCAACCCTTTCATTTGAGGACAGATCAAAGCTATGCAGATGTCTAAACTATGAAAAGCTCTCATTTGAAGCAAGCAAAGAACTAGCCAAAAATCCCAGAATCCCACCAAATGTTTCAGTCCAAGCACTCATTTCACAGCAATCTAAAGTGCCACAGAATGGATTTTTGTATCAGAGAACTCCCAATGGCAGCCATGGCAAGAACTCACATGGCCATATGGTGTTGTTCAATGACAATACCATGGATTCATCATCATTATCATCATCATCAGAGAGCTTTTCAGAAGGGACTGAAGATATGAAACTCAATTTGCAGAAGATGCAATGTAGGGTGGTGGAGTTGGAGAAAGCATGTAAAGAAATGAAGGGACAGATGTCAAAGTTGGTAAGGCATAACACTGGCATTAGTACCCCTTTCTACAATGGAACTTTGCCAAGATTTTGCTGAAATTTGTTTGTACAAAAAGGGGGCTGGTTCTTGCAAAATTGGAGCAAAGGGGATTCACCTTTTTTTCTTTTTTAATTTTTGGTTTGAGAAAATGTATGGTAACTTTGAAAAGTACATAATATTACATTGCTATTGTATTTTTATCTTTAAATATATTTTTTCTTCATTTTATTTAGACAAGTTTTCCTTTTTGTTATATTATTAAATTATAAATTATTCAACTCAATAATCTCTCCATTAAATTATAAATTATTCAATTTAATACAAATAACAAAATATTAAATTAAATAAACTTTTGAAAGTATTGAATCTACAAAATATATTAATACAAAATCAAATTGCACCATTAACCAAAGAAAAATACAAATCTTGACAAGAAAGTAGTTCTTAAACAAATTGAGAGAAGAAAAGAAAAAACAAATGCAGTGTTTATATATAATAAACACTTTTAGGGATAAAGTAAGATTTAGTCCTTGAATCTTATTTTACACATTAGTCCTGAACTATTTTTTTTTGGGTAATTTTGATAAATGTGACACTCTTAAATTTGATCACTTGTTATAATCTCAGAATCTCATATAATCAAGTGACTAGATATGAGAAATTTATCATTTAATATAAACAAAAAAAAAGTTTGATGCTCGAATTAAAATATATATTAAGTTGAAGAACTAAAAATTAATTTATTCAAAGTTTTATAGTGTAACATTAATTAATTCACTAAAATGTATAAAATTATACATTATCGATACATTATATATATATGGGTTACGATTCACTTATATTGTATAAATTTTTATTAGTTTTAATCTTTTTAGGACTATTGGATTGATAAAAATCAAATGCTGAGATTAACTCCTTGTTTCTTTTTCTAATGATCCTAAAATGTAAAACTAAACTAGTTTTACACATTATAATTGGATATTATCCCATATATATATATATATATATGAATCAAGTAACGTCGGCGGTAAATGAATTGTTATTATTCATTGAGTTTCCGGGTTCGAGTACAAAAAATGTTACGAGTGTGAGTGTTCAATGTCAAATTTGTTAAAAGTTATCTCAGAACATATATTGTTTTGTACTTACCTGAGATTAACTAAATATATATATATATATAATAATTAAAAAGAAAAAAAAGGAGATTGTGGGGGAAAAGGCCAAGAGTGTAAGGTGTGTATTCCAAACCGACTTGGATGTGTCATTGTATTTTCCAGCCAAGAAGTTCATGTGATTAAATATAATAATCCCAACTGGATTATATCTGCTGCTCCCGTGATTGTTTTTAATAATTTTGAAACCAAATATTCAAGTCTATTGTATCATATACTATTAATTAATATTATCAATTATTAATTGATTTGTTGAACGTATGAAATTACTTCAATGGTTGAAGAGAAGGTTTTTTTTCTTTAGAACTTAGATGAAAAAGACAGAATAATTTAGGCTTGTAGGACCATTTCACCTAAAGAACACCATCTGCACCATCTTTTTCCAACATTAAACAAACAACATTTTGCTTGTGTAAAGTGGTTTGGTTGTTTTAATAATCGGCTCAACTGCCAACAACAGTGATTGATTCCTTCGTCGTTCGAATTTTCCAAAAAATAAACAAACGATCATGAACGTATTCGAGAAAATAGAGGCAAACATGCAAAAACACACAAGCTGGTCGTATAATACATGTATTCCGTAGTTCCTTTGTCGCTAAGCAGAGTTTCTTACACGATACTGGGAGTGAAATACCCAACTTTTCCCGGATAAATAAACGACATTCAAATACAACAGCAGCATAGTAAAAGGAAACCAAAGAGAAGCAAATTGCATATCTATGGTAGCCGGACGAGTTCCCTATTCCTCTTGGTATTTTGAGGGTTCTTTTAATGACGTGAGTAAAAGGTAATTACATCTATGACTATGAGCTACTGTTCTGAATCGGTTGCGAAGGAAATCTATCTTCTTCCGTGGTGGATTGAGGGTTGGTCATCTTACAAAGAGATCGATATTGTAGACGAACATTCTCACCGGTTCCGATGATCTTAAGCAAATACCTGCAAGAATTTCATGAAAACCATGGGAACTTTCACCACTAATATCTAAAGCTCCCATCCTCTCTCTGATGTGCTAACATGTCTAATTCGGTTATTTTTTATTTTGCGGCGGGGAGGGAGGAGGAACAAAAGTTGACTCGATATAAATGAAATGAATGCATTGTGAGAGAAACATTCTTCCTATAATAGATGAGAGTGAAGGAAATAAAATTTTAAATATCGTATACGTTCCCCTACTTGAGGTTCTGAAAACAACGGTAATGCATGTCAACCATAGAACATTATGATGCTACTAATTGAGGGATTAGCCTACTTTTTATTTTATTGCCATTGTTGTCTCTAAGAGGCTTGATTTTAATATCTTATAAATCTAGAGTTACATTTGGTTTTCTACGTTTACATTAGGATTTAGCATCTTAATTTGTATTTTTCCTTATCCGATTAGGTTTCGTGCATTGGTAACAGTAAGATCTCGGAACAATCCAACTCACCAGCCATTGAGACATTGGGATGTAATAATGGCTTCCTTTCCAACAAACTTTTCTGGTGTTCTCCTGTTTCCCTTTACGATCAGTATACACTCCGTGTCAAATTTCAATCTAACTTTTATGGCGGGAAAACCATAATCAATAGTTGGCAATAAAGAGATGGCAAAATGTAACCTTAATTAACACCTTCTCGTTCTCCGAAAATGGATATTGCACACCCCTATGCAACCCGTTGTTAGCACCAAAATCTCCATTATCCTACAGAAAAGCATTTGACAAGCGTCAAATATGAAGTTGAAAACAATGCTGTAGCGATTTACCTTTGGAAAGTTTGATTCTAAAAGCATTAGAAATAACCAGATTTCAAGAAGCAACATTGCTGAACTTAGTAAATTCTAGCAATATTTTTTGCCCATGTGGAATCTATCCCTTCCCATTAGCATTTGCAAACGAGCTGAGAGTTTATGCATGCCGAACAGAAGTTTGAAAGGACTGTGTCAAGAAATTTGGAGTATACCCTGCTCGATCTCTTTGATAAATCGATTTGGTCACCCATTTCCTTTCGTCGTTTACGGAGAGCTGCATTATGGAATAGCCTTCGATTATCCTCTTGCTTCACAGCTGCGGCAGCAGCTCTTAGAGCTGAGCGACAAAAGGGAGAAAAATGGTTCAAGAGGAGGAAGAAAAGGATGGAGAAAATATTTGAATCTATCAGATCATACCAATATTAGGGATCAATGATCCAGAGTCTATGTCTGCACCGCAAAGCGTACATCTTGACTGTGATGCAAACAACAATTGTGGTTATGGTTCTTGTCTCTTCCCATCTAAGGTAATAAATCCATTGTAAACAAAAGAAAACAACAGGAAAATGATAGATGTACGATAACCAAAAAACAGCCTATATATGCCACAAAATGACATCTCCTTTCCTTCAAATTAGCAGACCTCTTGGCATGTCAGATTTATATTTTAACTCCTTTAATATTTATATTAGTTTGCAGATTGCCTGATTAGAACTTGACACCATTTTTTGCAATAAAAGAATAAAAAAGGAATTTAACCCCACTAACTAAAGTAGACTTTGAAGATGATTCAAAAATGCGTAAGGTGATCAAAATATTTTGATTTTACCAACAGATTAAATGAAGGTGCACCTCCATGTTTAAGAAAACCAAAATTATTTATCTAACTTGTATCTTAAGAATTCTATCCATAAAAAACACAGCAGCTTTAGACACGTTGAAAATATTTTGGCCTAAAAAGGTTTTAGTTTTTCCCTCAAAAAGAATTGCAAGTGCCTCCTAGCATGTCGAGAGAGCTAAATTTCTAATTAATAGGTGTGGCCTTCGTCTACCTCTCATTTGCTCTCTTTTCGAAGGACATGAAGAGTTGTTAGAGATAGTGTTGGCCACAGAGAAAGCTCTCAGAAAAGAGAGATGCTGGTGTTACTTTATTATTAAATAATCTATTGAACATCAAATTAGTAACTCACCCTGCATTTAAACAATGATTCACCTCTAAATCCCAAGAAAGATGAGAACAGTCATTTTAATGCAGAACCCATGCAGCCTGAAAACAGAGTAGCATTTCCATTTTTGTTAATTGCAATATTATTCTTACCATATCAAGGACCCTCCTCAGCATGAGACCACCAAATGAATGTCCACAAGAAACAACCATAGCATCTTCAAGGAAAGCACCACTAAGCATCAAGGCAAAACCAACAAAATAAATCAGCAGAGAAATGGTACATGTGTAAAGAGAAATGTATTTCTATATCCATGGTACATGTTAGTTTCTTTCTAGTTTTATGCAAATACCTTAGCTCATTGTATTTCAGGAAGGCTTAAAACAGATAGCGCATCCTAGGAAAGGTGGATGCAGTGCCAATTAAGCACAAAATGAGAAAAGCAATTTAAGGTCTATAATACATGAGGGAGAATAGCCTGGAAAAGTCCTATAAAAAGATTTGTGTTACTGGAAGATGCTGCAGTTCAAAGGTGTAAGGAAAGACTAGGGGAAACAGGGGTCGGAACTTTCAACAATGACTTAGTTATGGTGATTCACTCACAAGTCACAATATGATTATAAGCAATTTTATTGATACTAAGACATGCTAGGGATGCATTTCAATCAAAACTTAAAAAGAGGTAACAAAATAGCTTAACCGACGGAAAGGGAAAAAGGAGAGTGAAACTGAGACAACTTACGACAAGGGGTCTGAGAGAACACTTCTTAACGAAGGCTGCTTATTCAAATTGTTTTGAGCTCCCTGGGAATCCACAATTCATGATAAGGTTTTCTAACAAAAATTGAGCTTAAATACGAAAATCAAAATGCAATATGCAAGCAACAAAAATAAAGTAGGTTCGTTAAAAAAGGGGAAATCATGTGCGACAAATAAAATGTTTCCAAGAAACTGGGGATCAAATAAAAAAAGTAAACAATACCACTTTCAAATTTTCAATCAACCACCAGGCCCACATGTGTTGAAACTTTTCACAATAAAAAGTAAACA